CTCACTTCCCGTCCTCGTTTCATTATATTTATGTGGCAGGTATTGTCAAATTTTTTTCAAAATTGATGACAATGACATAAAATTCAAGCAAATAGCATAGCATACGTTCACATTCAATTTGATTTCTAATTTAAATTAGCAAAAATTATGGTTAAAAATAAAATAGTATACTATGCTCGACAGGAAATTTAATTACTGTCTCGAGATATAGTTTATCTCGACGCTACGCGTCTCGAACTATAAAATCTCTCGACAGTAATAGCTAATTTCCCGTCTCGGATTGTAATATACTATTACAGAATTATATAAATGAACAAAAATATTATCACGCCAAAAGCATTCGGCTGCATCCATCAAAAAATTTATGTATTCTCTATCAAATTCTTCCCAAACATGATAAAATTTCGAATTGTTTTCAAAATTTGGATCAGCCACACAAAATAAACATTTCTTCTTCTCAAACATAAACATTTGCAGTTGAATTTGAGCCTTGTATTTGGAAGTAATTTTATTTTCTTTGGTTAGATAATTTACAACGGTTTTTTCTGATTGAGGACATTTGATTTCAACCACGTATTCATCGCATATAGCATCAGGTGATGCTCCAAAAATTACATATTTTGGACTTAATTTTATTCCAGCATCACTAAGTAAACTTTAAATTTTTTTTCTATTGCTTCTTTCACCTTTTTTTCTAATCTTATCCCTCTTGTCATGGCAGCTGTGGGTTTAAATAATGAAACTCCTAGAACTTGGTTCACGAATACTCCATCGCTTTTTTTGCAATGGGCTGCTTCATAAAGCTTTGATGCTGTGATTCGCGCGTATCTAAGTTCGAACCATAAACTTGATTCTGATTGTAGCACTGTTTCAGCAACAGCTTTGGAACACAACTCCGAGTGAAGAACAATGTTCGAAAAATTCTGCACAATTTTTCTCTTTAGAATTCTTACAGTATACTATTCATTAATTGGAAAAGGCCCAGATTATTTTTTATACTATCAGGCTTCTTAAAGTGCTTCAAAAGTTGGCTTTCTGAGTTCTTCTCAATCCCTGTATCTATAACTTCCTTCAAGAAAGTGGAGTTTTCTTCATCTGAACTCAGTTCTTCCGGGGCACCAAAATCCTTGAGTGTTAAGAATTTTATTGAAGTTCCAACTTTCGAAAGCTTGCTTTTTACCCAGTAGCAGGAAACTGATGTCGGAGAACGCTCTTCGCTTCTCCTATGAAGCCACATTAAGAATGCAATAGCATGCTTACAACCACCTACAATGATGAGTGATAACTAAATAATCAGAAATTGAAAGTCACTATGTTTACCAGAAGACGCAGCACAGTCATGACATATTCTCAATTTTTTCCAATGCTTCATCGATATTACAACATTATGTTCTGGTGTTATTTTGGATTTTACTGTGCAGATATTATTTTGTCTTCGCACTTGTACCCATCCTACAGCTGCATCTCCATATGATTGTCTTCCAGATCTATAATCAATAACATATGTACTTATTAATAGAGCCTTCCTAACTCAAATTAGGATTAATAGATACATACTTATCTGCTTTTACGCCACGAACTTCGCCTAGGGAAAAGTTTTCAGAATTTTTGATAAAATTCGCAACCATAAACATATCCACCATAGGCAAGTTATCAGATTGTCCTTTGGAAAAACCTTCTTCGGTCATTTTAAACTTAAACGCTTAAACTACACTAACGTCCAATAAGTATACACACATCAAATTCTAATATAAAATACGAATATTGAAAATTGAAAAATATATGATCAAATTTGCACAACGGTTGCATTTGACAATGGCATAATAGACAATGACGACACCGGACACCTGCACACAACAGGTTATTACTGCCCTGTGACGTCAGGATCAATAGAAACACTTTTTTCGTGCGCTTCCTTAGTTTCGAATTACTTGGTATTTTCAATTGAAGATTTTGGACATCTAAGACAAGATATTATTTTTCTTTCCTAATTGCATGATTTATTAGGTCGTTTGTTAGTGTTTTTCACTATTTATTCCATATTTAATTTAATGTGCAAGTTCCCTATTATTAAAACAACCACCACTTCATAATCAACATCTATTTTTTTCTTCTCTCATGAGTCTCTGCTTTGCTTGTCGTAGCCACTCGAACACCATGGTCTCAAGCTCCGCTATATAGCATTTGGTTTTGTGATGCATTATCTTAAATACAAAAATTCAATTTTCATTTATCAGGCAAGACAATACCTAATGTTTTGAATTGTGAAATATTTATCGATCGGTAGGTACCAAATATACTTACCATAGGCTCCAACAAATTCGCATGTAGCACTAATCACAGTTCATTAAAAAAAAATACCTACTTATAATTTTCAAACACAAAAGGAAAATAGAAAGGGCGTAGTAGTTGATGTGAATTTCGGAAATACCAAATAACAACTGAACAAACAAAACAGAGACAAAACAACAGACAACGGCATAAGAAAATGGCTTCAGTTCAGTCCATTTTTATAATCAACAGAATAATAGAACCGAATAGCGGAAGTGTTGCCAACTCGCTGATACGAGAAAGCCCTACAGGACAGTAGAGTAATGTTAATATCTCTAGAACTAGGGGTACATTCAGTAGTCTGGCATCACTGTATTGGAAAAAAATATTAAAACATTCATCTGTCACAGAAGAGCACCAAAATAATTGAATTGTATAGGGTATAGTTACATAATATTGCAATAATATTGCTGATATATCACAAAGTTACATTCATGGCACATTAATATTTTGTCTTTTGGTAATATAATATCATAAAGTTACATTAATGGTACATGAATATTTGTCTTTCGGTTGAACATACCATGGTGCCATATCAATTATATACATTGAACGTAACAAATTAATTTCACATTATAACAAAAATAGTATGTTTCATGTATGTTGATGGTGAGTTACAAGAAAATATACCCATGTTGACAGAAAAAATACATCGCGACACAGTAACGTGCTGGCTGGGAATATAAGGGGATTGAGGGGATTGCCCCTAATTACAGTTTTAGACGCGGTCTTGACCCGAACTTAGTAGCGATTTATCTGTATGAGATCTTTGAGGGGATTGTAAATCATCGGTCCTGCTTAAAAGCTTAAAAACTGTGTTTGTACATTAAACAGGCCTCTGCATTATTTGTTTAATCTTTGCTTATCTATAGGTACCATCGTCACCAAAAGTAACTGGGACAGCATCACATTAGCTCTTGTCCTATTATATGAATTTCATTGTCAAATATTTGTCAAACTATGAATTAAATGCATGTAAAATGAATGACAGTAGAATTAGTCCAGGAGATTATTATGCATTATTTGTGTCCCAGTTACTTTTGGTGACGATGGTACATGACTACTGGAAAATAAGTTTTCTGACACCTATACATAAAAGTGGGGATAATGTGATGTTTCTAACTATAGGGGAATAAGTATACAGTCAGCTATTCCAAAGTTTTCCGATAAACTGTTCTGCCATCACCTTTCTTGGCATTGTATGAGAGTGCTTAGTGATCAACAGCGCGGCTTTGCTCGGGGTAGATCGACGGTCACAAATTTTCTCACCTATCAGCACTATCTGTCAAATGCCTTCGAGAATTCCAAACAAGTGGATAGCATTTACACGAGCTGGGTTCGGCTATTCAGCGCGGAGTTGGAGTGGAGTGAACAGAGCTAATGGAGTCACCCCTAATACGGTAAAAAGCAATACCCGAACCTTAACCCGAACGGCTGGAGTGCGAATGGAGTCACTCGGAGTGCACGGAGTGAGCAAGCCGAACCCACCTACGGACTTCTTGAAGGCATTTGACAGGGCTAATCATGAACATCTTGTTGGTAAGCTTGAGGCTTTTGGAATATGGGTAGAATTGTGGTTGATTTTTGTCAAAGTCTCTTGACCGGGCATACTCAACTGGTGCGGGTTGGTGACTTTGTGTGAAATACAGGTCTTTTCTGGCGTTCCCCTGGAATCGCACATTGGACCCTTCCTGTTGTTCAATATGTTTATAGGAGATCTAAGTGATGTTATTGTCCATTTGGGAGCATTTGGCTTTTGCTGATGATTTTAAAATACCTATTCAGAGTTGTTGAGTCTTATATGGATGTGCTTTTACTGCAGAGTGCAGAAAGATGTTGACAGTGTCAATCTATGCCTACAGGAATATTGGTCTGGAGTTGAATGTTAAGAAATGCTTGTGCATTTCATTTAGTCGTTCAGCAAATGTAATACAATATGGATATTCTATCGATGGTTCACTTTTGGTGTCTTAGAAAACAGTCAGAGACTTGGGGGTATTGTTCGACTCTAAATTAATATTTGTTCCTCATTGTGAAGATGTTGCTAACAGGGGATTAAGTAGTTTTGGGTTTGTCACCCATAACAGTGCTCAGCTCGCGCCCAGGGCTGCCAGACATCCCAAACAGTCCCGATTTTTAGACATATTCTAGAATCATCCAGATTTACGAAGTGAATGCCAAATGTTGCGATTTTTGAAAATGTACGAGAATATGTCCTTTGTGATTTAAGATTTGGGGATTTGACAACGTATTTAAAAGTTCCAAGGGCGAGGACATCTTATTATAATATCAGCAATTTGTTTCTATGATAAATATGTAGATGAGTAGAATAAAAATAGAATATCAAAATAAAAACCCAATGCTTTACTTATGCACCCCACGGGGGTTATTGCCATTATTGGTTTTTTTTAGACGCCCTTTCTTTATCCACTGTCCGAAAATTGAAATCTGGCAACCCTGCTCCCGCCGTATTCCTTCAAGTTGCTGAATTGCTCGCTTGTTTGTTCGGTTTTGGAGTAAGCCTCTGTCGTTTGGTCTCCCTACTACACATGTCATATTAGTGACCTTGAATCTGTGCAAAAAACATTTTGGAGATCCTTGGCTCTCAGGGCGAATGTAAAGGATACGTGATGGTTATCAAATTAACTATGGTCTAATAAGACAGCAGTATGATATTGACAGTTTTGAAGTAAGAAGACAATTCCCCCTCATAAGAACATTAAGGGCATTCAATGTTCACAAACTTGATCGATTTGCCTGTGGCCTTATGTTTAAATCTAGAATTAGGAATATTAAATAAGACTGCAAATGTATTAGGTATTATTGTTATGATGGTTAAATAAGAAGATAAAAAGAACAAGAAAAATATTAATGAATTAAACACATCCCACAAATTATAATATGTACCTAATTGAGACAGATGTGAAGTGAAAAAAGATTTTGAAATAATACATAGAAAGGGAAAAAAAAATTAATAAACACAAAAATAATTATGACAGAACTTCGTCAAATCTTGATGGGAAAGAATATAGAGATGAAAAGAAGAAATATCTTGATAGGTATAGGTAATTCCTAGGAATCTTGATGAGAATACTTTAAAAGACAGAGAAAAATAATATAACGAGACAACTTTCACAAATTCTAATAATGAAGATAGAGGTGAAGAGGAAAAACATTTTGAAATAATCCCTAGAAAAGAGAAAAAGGATTTTGAAACAATCCCTAGAAATAAGTATTATACAGGGTGTCCCACTAAGGTCGGCCAGGTACGATATTATGGAAACCATAGACCTTACGTAACTTGAAAACGAATGCAGATATTTAATTGCGGTTTGCGCGAAAATGTAGATTTTTTTTCTCTTCAAGCACAGCAATAAAAAAATAAGGTCCTGCCATTTGGATTTTTTATGGAAATTTGAAAAAACTGGATCTTGGATAAACAGCGCCCTCTAGAAGACGCGGTGGGAGCTATCGACCCCGAACGAATTGGTGTTCTTCTTAATGACAATGAAATTCTCTTCCGCATAAGCCCAAATTGAATGATTTTGGATGAGGGGTATGGAAGATACAGCAAGTTCTAGAACTATTTTTTCACGAGCTTCTCCCCCCCCCCCCCCCCTATTAGGGAAGATACGAAAAAAGCCTAATAACCAAACTGGCGTAAAAATTTATGAACTTTTGATTTCTAGTATTAAAACAGTACCTTAATATAACGATTTCTTGAGAAAATTTGAATTTTTAGCTATATCATCGTAATTGCGCCCCCTAGTGGTCATCTCAGAAACTTGAAAATAATTTCCATCAATTTCTCTTGGCCGACTTAGTGAAGAAAAAAAAAATCCCGAAGCCGTAAAGTCTATGGTTTCCATAATATCGTACCTGGCCGACCTTAGTGGGACACCCTGTATATTATTGGGTGAGAAGATAAAAGAAAGAAATATAGAATTAAAACCTATACATAAATTCCTACAAATTCATTCTGAGAAAACCTCATCGGAAAGAAGATAAACAAAAAAGAAAAATCAAACTAATTAACACAATAATGGTTGAGAAAATCTCGATAGTCGATGGGGAAGAAAATACAGGTGAAAAGAAGAAAGGTTGAAAGTAATTTCTAGAAATCATGATAAAATAAAAATAAACAAACTATGATAATGAAGATAGAGGTGAAGAGCAGAAAGAACTTAAAACAATATATAGAAATATAAATAGGGGTGAAGAAGATAGAAAAAGAAAATTCAAAATTCAATATATTACATGCTTTACAAAATTTTTGTTTTGTTTGCACAAGTCAATCAAAAGTGATTTAAGACAATAAGCATTCAAAGTTACACTAGTCTTATACTACACTTAATACGTATTGTGTAGTTAAAAAGTTAAATAATGGTTTAGGTTGTATGTAGTGGATGACAATAGTGAGGTTCAGGACAAAAATCAAACTCCTGGATTGAATTAATTAAATTAATAATGAACAACAAAATCATTTTGAGGAAATTCATTACACCTGTTTGATGAGGAATAGGAAGATAAAGGTGAAATTTTGAAGTTATTTCTAGAAATCTTAATAGGAATCCCAGACAACACACCAAATCCCATGGATATCTAATGGACATCCCAATATCCACTGAATGTCCAGTCTATGGTGGATATTTAATGGATATCTACTAGATGTGAATAATAGATATTTAAAATAAAAAAGAAAGCTTAAGATGTATTGAAAAACCCATGGATATCTGTTAGATATATTATAGTCTGAGCGAGTACGGAAACTATAGTGGATATCCATTGGACGTAATTGATGGATATAATGTTTTCAAAATCCCTGAATTAAAAATTATTAAATTACCTGAGTGTTACGCCATGTGATAATTAATAGTGGTTAAAATTGGTTTAAAGATAGGTATTTAGTTAAAATTAGAGATAATCAATGGTGACATCCGGATATCCCGTAGTTAGCCGATGGATGTATCAATAATGCGTAATAAACGCCGACAGTCGACACAGGCGCAATTGTTCTTCTCTCTCCCGCCCTGCGCTTCTACCGGTGCTGCCGCGTGTGCGACGTGCGTGCCAGCGAGTGGGATCGATCGCGAACGAAACGAAACGACTGAAACGAGTAGAACGGTCGAACGACGGAGTCGGCCATTTTGCTAGCATAGCATCATTAGCAATATTAGCGTCCTGATAAATATTCGAGATTCGTTTCGCATTTCTGTGTAGAATGGCAGTAGATAACCAATAATTAATAATATTAATTTTGTTTGTTGAGTGTCGTGTTGATATTTGGGAAAATTATTCTAATTGAATTTTAAAAAGAAGCTAGGTAAGTAAAACTTCGAAATCTAAACTAAAAGGCTGTGATTTGGAGCTGGGTCATTGGTCAAGTTGGCCCCTTACACTCGGTTTTGTACTGTTTCTCAATTATTGTAGTTATTTAATATTTAATTGTGCTCAATACAAGAAAAAATTGAAACAAATCCGGGGGGCCAGCAGCTTGACCGCCAGCGCCACATTTTTAGCAATATCTTTGGGTTATTTTTGTGCTCAACGTGGCCGATTAGGCCGGTAGAAATTTGATTTGTGCTTTTTTTCTATATCGAAAAGCAATAGAACAAATCTGGGTGGACTGCCCCTGAATTCAGGCACTTATCTTATTATTGTTGTGTAATAACAGGGTGGTGAATAGCAGGTAATACCAGGTACCATACCTGTTATACAGTGAAGAATATTTGGCAGGTGGTATTATGGGAGGCTGGCCCCCGAATTTTGTTTTAACTTTTTTTGGTGTTGAAAAAGAGGGGCCAACTTGACTGAGCTCTGATTTGGTTCAATTTATAACTAGAATTTGTGGCGTTTCCTTAGTTTCATACAATATCCTATAAGAGGGAATGGCAATTTTACCAGGATAATATTTTGTACAGCCAAAAATTATTCAAAATTCATCATTCAATCTAAATTATAACCTTATTCATTTAAACTAAATTTCGAAAATATAGTTTTTATTGCGAAATACTATTCCTTCATTTGTTGAAAAAAATTTAAAAAATAAATTTTTGGTTGTGATTTTTTTTTTACCTAAGTATTTGATTGTTTTTTATTTTTTGACAATTTCAGTGGTTGGTTTTTATTATTTTTATATGATGTCCATCATCCATTCAGTGTGCTGCTTGTTTTCTGATTTTTAATAATTGGAACTGATGGATTTCTGTAAATGAACCATCTAATAATTTATTTAAAATTTCAACACCTTGTACAGGGTGCGTCCCAAATTCGAGCAGTATCATTGGGATATAGGAAACGGTAAGAGATACAGGGTCGGTTAAATTAGGGCAAAGTTGCGCAATTTTATGACCAATAAAATGCCGTTTTGAAATTTGAAAAATTCCGAATACTTCCGAAGGTATTCGAAAAAAACCGAAATTTTGTGAAATCGTTTTTATTATTTCCTAGGCTTATTTGAAGAGCAATTTCAAAATAAATGTCACTTCATCATTGTCACTTTTTACCCTCTACAAGATGGTGTGACTAAATTTCGGATTCGACGTTTCGTCTTTGGGCGGCCATCATCAACTTAATTTTTTCAAGTACAGACCTTGATTTTTTATTTCAGATTTCAAGAGCTTCTGATGTCCCAAAACCTATGACGTATCGCATTTAATCGAAAAAATATTTTTTTTAGTTCTTAGTAATTTCCTACCAAAATTATCTTCTCTGTCTCTCTCTAACACATAAAGTTCTTATGGAAAGTGCCAATAATATGAATTTTTCGAATAAATGCGATACGTCAAAGGCTTTGGGACATCAGAAGCTCTTGAAATCTCGAATAAAAAATCCAGGTCCGTACTTGAAAAAATTAACTTGATGATGGCCGCTCAAAGACGAAACGTCGAATCCGAAATTTAGACGCACCATCGTGTGAAGAGTAAAAAGTGACAACGATGAAGTGACATTTATTTTAAAATTGCTCTTCAAATAGGCCCAGGAAATAATACAAACGATTTTACAAAATTTTGGCTTTTTCCGAATATCTTCTGAAGTATCCGGAATTTTTCAAATTTCAAAACGGCGTTTTATTGGTTATAAAATTGCGCAACTTTGTCCTAATTTAACCGACCCTGTATCTCTTACCGTTTCCTATATCCCAATGATACTGCTCGAATTTGGGACACCCTGTACAGCAAGCACAATCGAAACATTTTTGGAATAATGCTAATATGTATAAAGTTATTCTATATTTTCGTCTGTACAAAATGCTGGTAAAATACTGCTTCATTTTTTGATGATGCCTATTTGATGTTACAGAAAATGGCGTCTCGTAAAAGAAAATGTATTCTTGACTTATCAAAAAGACACTTGCGTCGTCTTATTCAGACAAACGAACAAATTAAAGATTCTCCGGCGTTCCATGACAATTCAGCGAGTTGCAGTTCAGTTTGCATCAATGAAATAAATAATAGTAACATCAATGAATTTAATTACTCCTCCAATTGCCCTGATGATCAATTTATGGGTTCGCCTTCAGAGTTGCCAAAATCGATAAATGAAGACCCTAATAGTTTTTTAGACGCTGTCGATATTGCATTCGAAGAACATCAAGTTAATCACAATAATTAAATTGTGAACAATAATAGTGAGAACGATTTAGTAGTAGAAAATCAGGTAGAAAATGAAGGAGAAATTGAAAATAATGTTACACCATTGAAACTGCAGCTCAGTTATTGGGCTACAAAACACAAAATAAAACGGAGCGCTGTTTCGGACTTACTTAAGATATTACAAAAACATGATAGTGGAGCGAACCTCCCTAAAGATTCTAGAACTTTACTGAAAACACCTAGGACTACTAATATCAAATATATAAGTCCAGGGCAGTACTATCACTTTGATTTAACCTCAACTTTACTAAATGCCATTGAGGCGGATATAAAAAAATATCAATTTAAAGAAATTTGCATAAAAATTGGCATTGATGGATTACCCATATCAGACTCCAACACCAGTCAACTCTGGCCAATACTTGGTTGTATTCATCCTACTTCGAGAGTTTTTATGATTGGTGTTTACCATGGGTATAGCAAACCTGCCGACTCCAATGAGTTTTTGCAGGCCTTCGTAGATGATATTAGTATTTTAATTCAAGAGGGTCTGACATATAAGGAAGTTAAATTTAATATATCAATTCATTGCTTGATAGCAGATGCACCAGCGAAATCCTTCATAACTAAAACAAAAGGTCACACAGGTTACTTCAGCTGTACTAAATGTGAACAGGAGGGTATCTTCATTCAGGGACGTATGAGTTTCCCATCAACCAATTCTAAGAAAAGAACAGAAGCGTCTTTTATTATGCAAGAAAATGCTGAATATCATTTAGGCACCTCAATTTTGCTCAATATTCCAAATTTTGATATAGTCCTGGATATCCCGTTGGACTATATGCATCTAGTATGTATCGGCGTCGTCAAAAAAATTATTTCTTTTTGGATCAAGGGTCCCCTACAAGTACGTCTATCGGCAGCGAAAGTCAATATCATTTCCAAAAGTTTAATACAAATGAAACCATTTATTGTTCGAGAGTTTGCTAGAAAGCCTCAGGAACTTCAGTGTTATAGTAACTGGAAGGCTACAGAACTGAGACAGTTCCTTCTTTATACAGGACCTGTGGTTTTATATCAGGTACTCCCACCCACTTTATATTACCATTTTTTGAGTCTACACATAGCAATCAGAATTTTCTGTGACGAAAAACACGACGTAGTTCAGCTCCAATATGCTCACGATTTGATTTCACATTTTATTCAATCATTTATTGTTATTTACGGAGAAGAGTTCGTTTCCCACAACATTCATGGTTTGATCCATATTAAAAATGATGTTGAACGCTTTGGACACCTCGACGCTTTCAGTGCTTTCCCTTTTGAAAATTTCATGAAAAATTTGAAAACGTTTATTAGTAAGCCTGAAAAACCATTGCAACAGATTCATAGACGGTATATGGAAATTCAGTCATCGTCAGCGTGCAATAAGTATGAAGAAGATCAAAAAGAAAATAAAATGTATCACAATGATGGGCCACTAATACCAAATATTTCATTTAGAGATCAGTTGCGGACAAAGCAGATATTAAATTGGTTTTTTTCTATCAAAAACCCAGATAATTGTTGTCACATAGGAAGAATAATAATAGAAATACATAATTTTGCATATTGCAATGAAATTGCGCAATATGTGATTATTGGAAAACAGTTTCTTACTGTCACTGACTTTTATCAAAAACCATGTCCATCTTCAAATAATTTATGTTTCTATGTGGATAATTTAAGTGAAAACTTTGAAATGTGGCCTGCTAATGAAATAAGCGCTAAATGTTTGAGGCTCCCTCATGCCAGCGGTTTTGCTGTATTTCCCCTACTTCACAAGTAAAATTAGCAAATTGAATATTATTTTTACAGCCCATGTAAATGAATATATATTTAAACACAATGTCCAAGTCTTGGTGCGTGGTTGAGTTTTCCGATGGCGTTCAAATTGTACCTCACTCATGGATAACTGGTGACAAATGTTACTGGCCAACCTATAGTGGTATTAATGCTCAATCATTATTCAAGAAGGCAGTAGTTGAGTACCAAGCACCTGATAAGAATAACTGGGCGTTGTATGCAATGAGGATTTTGGGTATTTATGGTATGTTTGGTTAACATCATCAGATCGCATGTTAATTACTTATAAATTTTGTAGACTCTTACGAACAGGCTGCGCCAAAGCTGAAAAAAGCTGAAATCCAGTCAGATATAAATTCTTCGGATAAGGATGAGTCCCGCTCCAAGAAAAGCCGTCGCGTGAGAAAGAGGGTTGTTCATTCAAGCGAAGAGGACAACACGGATCCTGAAGATGAAATTGAGGGAATCGAGCCCTTTCCAACTCCGCCAACGAAGAAAGCGAATTTGAAAATAACCCCTAATAGTCGAACTGACACACGCATATCTCAGTTACCTGATCAGGATCCAAGTCCATCAACCTCAACCAATAAGGCTTGCAACTCATCAACATTTAATTTCTTCACTGCAACTCCAAGATCATTGACTAATCCAAGAACAACTTCACAAACAATAAGTGGTGGAACTTTTAAAACACTGAAAAAAAATCTGACTTTAGAGAGTGATGAGGAGAATGGGATAACAGAAAATAATGAGAACCATTCATCATTTATTTCACAAATAACCCCAAGAAATGAACAAGGGAACTGTGTTTCTAAAGTATAAAATGATTTCTGTTAACGAATGGTAAATGTGGCAACGCCAAACCTATATTGCAGATTTCTGTAATATCGGCTGCCCTGGGAGATTGCTATTGGGGGAGAAAAAAGGGAAGGGGGAACATGTCTTTGTCTTTTGAGTGTGGCCGTCTGGCGAAAGGCTGTAAAAAGTGGCAGTGCAAATAAAATGTAATTTTTGATTGAAATTTTCGAGTATTTATTACAAAAAAGTGTCAACAACAATTAGCTGAAGCTTAGGAATGGTTCCTAACATAAAATGGTCCTTCGAAACCCGGATGTACTGGTAATATTGCACAAATTGTAATTGGCAAGATGGGCCCGTAAAGCAAAGGACGGCGTCCATATTGGCATCAGGCACCGGCACCATCATCGTATCGATCAATATCGATCGTGACGTATATGGTGGGTCGCATAGCAACAGTTGCAACCGTTGCAACACACATCAAATGTCAAATTGGTAAAAAAGGAGCACACTCCGAGGATCAGCTGTTCGCTGACAGCAGCAGATGAAGTTTGTTTATTGTTTTGGTCATTGGTTTTGGTACACAGATGTGAAAAAGTGGATTTGGATTGGATCTTTTCTTCTTTCATTTGGAAATTGGAAAATAACTGCTATTTATAATTGGATCACAGGATTTAAAATACTGGATTGGTTATTGGTTTTACAATTGTTGGTAGGTAAAGCTTTTGTTTGGTGATTGGTAAAGATAATTAAATAAACCTGGTAAGTGGTATCCTTTTCAAAAAAAAAAAAAAAAAAAAAAAAAAAGAGAAATTATTAATATAACTTATTCATTGTTGTTTTATTTACTTCTTGGTTACAAAAATACGCTTATTAAGGTGGCTTCGGTTTGGTTGGCAATGTAAATTGAAATTGTGTTACTTCATACACTAAACTTTCAGTTTATTTGCTAGGATTTATCCTGTTTTGACTAATATATACTCATTAGTTTGTATATTGCTGGTTGGTATTGATAAACAAAAAGAAAACTTGTGTTTTTTATCATTTAGTCTAGTTTTATTGTAAACAAATCGGTATTTTTATTGATATTTCCTCGGATATTTCATATTAGTATATAATATATTGGTAGGCAGGTCGTTGAATGAAAATAAACATTGTATCTATTATATTTTGGTATTGGTGTTTGTTAAATAGTTGTAAAGATGACTGATGAGGTTGAACTTAAGACAAACATAAAAAGGCGTGGAATTTGCAAGTCAAAATTGACAAACTTTAATAAATTCTTGACTTCAATTGTTGACTTAGCAACAGATAACATAGATAGCGTAAAACTAGTTGAATTGGAAAGCAGAGCGGATAAACTTCCAGAAATATTAACTGAATTTGAAACTTATCAAAGGGAAATAGAGATAAGTCATGAGAATTTAGACGAACAACTTGCAGAGAGGGAACAATTTGAAAATTTTTATTATAAATTGCTTGCCTCTGCAAATGACTTACTGAAAAAACATTCTGACAGTTCCAGTAATGATGATAGTGTTTCTCAATTGGGCAGAACTAATGCAGTGGGTGGTGTAGGTGTAGGTTTTCCAAATGTCAGATTTCATACAGCAGGCCCAAAACTACCATCAATTCCTTTGCCAAAATTTTCCGGTAACTTTGAAAAATGGCTCGAGTTTAGAGACACTTATAAATCATTGGTGCATGATAACAGCAATATTTCAGATATTGAAAAGTTTCATTTCTTGCGTGGTTCTTTGGAAGGTGGTGCAAAGGATGTGCTGCAAAATCTTGATATTAGTTCAACAAATTACTCTATTGCTTGGGATTTACTTTGTGAAAGGTATGACAACAAGTCCATACTGGTTAATAATTATCTCAAATCACTTTTTGGTCTCCCTGCTATGAGTAAGGAATCAGCTGGAGAGCTACGTGTACTATTAGATGGTATTATTAGGGGACTACGATCACTCAAAGCACTTAACATTCCGGTCGATAGCTGGGATTTGGTTATTATTTATTTCATGTGTGAGAAGTTAGATTCGGTTACGGCCAGAGAGTGGCAAGAGAAGAAACCAAAGAACAGGTTGCCTGCACTGGCTGAATTTAATCCATTTTTGAAAACTAAAACTGAACTACTGGAAACGCTTGAGGGCCAGTCGAGGAAGACCAAGGTAAGTAATCGGTCGGATACTAAAAACAAACATTTCAATTCTCTCGTGAATATCAATGAAAATTGTTCATTTTGTAAAAGTAATCATAGTATAATGAATTGTCCTGAATTTCTTAAATTATCAGTTTATGACAGATATACAAAGGCAAAATATCTTAGACTTTGCTTGAATTGTTTGAAGGCTAATCATATGAGTAAAGATTGTCGTTCAAGTAAGTGTAGAAAGTGTTCTACTAGCCACCATACTTTACTTCATTATGATAAAAAATCTTCAAATGAAAAGCAAGTTCATCCAGATCAAAATTCAAATGTTGTACCTCAAAATAGAGTGGAAAGTGTAAGTGTAAACATGTCTTCATCTTGTGTTGGTCAGCAAGATATGTTACTTTCCACTGCACTTGTGCAGTTATTTGATTCAAATGGTCAATCAATTACTGCTAGAGCTTTGCTTGACTCAGGCTCCCAGTCGAATCTAATAACTGAAGAACTTTGCGATAAACTGGATATTGGTAAGCAAGAAATCAATGTTTCAATTATTGGTGTGAATCAAACAGTTTCTTGCATTAAATATAAATGTAACCTAACTGTACAATCTCTTCATAACGAGTTTACCAAGGATATCTCTTGCTTGGTGGTACCTAGGATTGTTGGATTTCTTCCTGGTAAAACTATGGATGTTTCTCAGTTGCAGATTCCAAAACATTTCAAGTTGGCAGACCCCGGTTTTGCTATTTCTGGCAACATTGATCTTCTCCTAGGAGCTGATATATTTTATCAACTTTTGTGCATTGGCCAGTTTAGTTTAGGGAATGATCAACCCATTATGCAAAAAACAAGGTTCGGATGGATTTTATCTGGTCCATGTAGCTATGGCAATACAGTGCAATCTCCAACTTATTGTGGATTAAATATCAATTTGGACATTCAGAATCAGTTAGAAAAATTTTGGTCAATTGAGGAACCCCCAAATAGTTTGAAACCTATACTTTCACATGACGAGAAGGAATGCGAGAGTATTTTTGTTCAAAGTACAAAAAGAAATGAAGATGGCAGATTTGTTGTTCAAATTCCTCTCAAACAGCATCCATCTGTATTAGGTAATTCAAGTTTTTCCGCTAAAAGGCAATTTTTCTCGTTGGAAAGGAGACTGCAGAAAAATCCTCAAATGAGACAACTTTATATTGAATTCATGCAAGAGTACGAGGCCATGGGTCATATGTCTGAGTCAAAAGATAATTCTGGTGAGACTTCCTACTTTTTACCTCATCATGGAGTCATAAATGAGAATAGTTCAACAACTCGTTTGCGTGTCGTTTTCAATGGTTCATCTCCCACAGATAATGGAATATCCCTCAACGATATTCAATATACTGGGCCAAATATACAAGATGACTTGTTGGAAATATTGTTAAGGTTCAGAGTTCACAATATCGTCGTTTGTGCCGATGTGGCAAAAATGTATCGCATGGTGATGGTGAGTGAGCACCAGAGAAGTCTGCAAAAAACTTATTGGAGGGCGAGTCCAAATGATGAGTTAAAGATCTATTCTCTCAATACCGTTACTTACGGTACGACCTCTGCATCCTTTTTAGCTATTAGGTGTCTCAAACAGTTGGGTTTGGAATTTGAAAATGAATATCCAGAGGCATGTAATGTAATTTTACATAGTTTCTTTGTAGATGATTTGTTATGTGGAGCAGATACTGTTGCAGAAGCAGTAACTTTAAGTATTCAGGTAGCTAGAATACTGGAAACTGGTTGTTTTTCCCTGAGAAAGCGGGTATCAAATTCCCCTGAGGTGATTAGGCAAATTGTTGGAGATGTTTCCAACAATGCTTTCAGTAATCGTGACATCCATTTCAGCGAGGAGAATAAGACTCTTGGTTTGTATTGGTCATTCAAGAATGATCATCTCATGTATCGTATATCTTTAACCGAGCCTGGAAAATATACTAAAAGAACTATTCTTTCATCCATAGCCAAAATTTACGATCCATTAGGTCTAGTTTGTCCATGCATAATCATTGCAAAGATTATTTTGCAAAAATTATGGTGTACCAAGATTGGTTGGGATGATTCTTTGCCATTAAGTATTCACTCCTCATGGCATAAGTTACGGCAAGAATTGTTGGTTTTAAATGACATGGTTATCCCAAGGAAAATGGTTTGTTTTAATGCTAGCATTATTGAATTACATGGTTTTTGTGACAGTTCTGTAGAAGCTTACGGTGCTTGTTTGTACTTGAAAAGCACAACCACTTGTGGTCAGTCTCAAATCTCTCTTGTCTATGCTAAGGCTAAGGTGGCCCCATTGAAGGTAATAACACTTCCTCGACTGGAATTGAGTGGCGCATTGGTTCTTGCACAATTGGTTAGTACTTTCAAAAGGTCAGTCAATCTAACTATTCACAAAACCTATCTATGGACTGATTCCTCAGTGGTATTAGGTTGGTTATCTCACTCACCGCACAACTTACAAACATTTGTTGGGAATCGTGTATCTCAAATACAATCTTTGACTTCAAGTCAAGATTGGCATCATGTTTCATCAAAAGATAACCCTGCAGATATATTGTCAAGGGGTTGTTATCCTGAACAATTGGTTGACAACAAAATATGGTGGAATGGACCTGTTTGGTTGACTAAAGATTGCTCAGAATGGCCTAAGTCAATAATTGAAATTGATATATTACCTGAATTAAAGAAACAAACCTATAATTGCCAGGTTATCCCTGAATATTTTCCAATTAAAGAATTTTCCAACTTTTCACGCTTGAAACGTAGCTTTGCTTATGTTTTAAGATTTTTCAAAAATTGCAAAACTGATAGGGCATCTAGAAATTTTGGTAAGCTCACAGTCCATGAAATGAACGATGCATTGGAAAAATTAGTTGTAGTATCCCAAAAGGAATCCTTTCCTAGTGAATATTCATTGCTGTTGCAAAATAAACAATGTCTTAAGGGCCCTCTCAGTGCACTAAACCCATTTATTGATATAAAGGGTGTCTTGAGGGTGGGGGGTAGATTAGAATTGTCAAATTTAGACTATGCCAAAAAGCATCCAGCTGTTTTGTCATGTAAACATCATTTTACAAAATTGCTGTTTTCTTTTGAGCATAAAACATTATTACACGCTGGGCCTCTTCATTTGCTTGCTTCAATTCGAGAACACTATTGGCCAATTGGTGGGCGAAATTTGTCCAGGCATATAGTTCACAAATGCATACGATGTTTTAAGGTGAAACCAAGAGCAATTGGGCAAATGATGGGTGACTTACCTCAAGAACGTATCTCCCCTACGCCTCCTTTTCATGTAACTGGAGTAGATTATGCGGGCCCCTTTCTTATAAAGTCCAAGAGTGGAAGAGGTGCCAAGATATCAAAGTGTTATGTGTGCCTGTTCATTTGTTTTTCGACTCGTGCAATTCATCTGGAATTGGTATCAGAATTAACTTCTGAGGCATTCATTTCCACTTTCAGGCGTTTTGTATCTCGCCGAGGAAAGCCTGCTTTAATATGGTCTGATAATGGTACAAATTTTGTCGGTGCCAATTCTGAGCTGAAGGAACTTAGTAAGTTTTTGCAGGGGCATAGCGAAGAATTTGTAGGAACTTTTGAAAACGAAGGCGTTAGCTGGAAATTTATCCCTTCTCGAGCTCCTAATTTTGGCGGAATTTGGGAGGCAGGAGTAAAGTCTTGCAAATTCCACATGAAACGTGTCATGGGCAATGCCTCATTAACTTTTGAGAATTTCTATACATTGCTCACCCAGATTGAAGCCATTTTAAATTCGCGCCCTTTGGTTCCACTTGCTAGTGATCCAAGTGATTATGACGTATTAACACCAGCCCATTTTTTGGTTGGTAGGCGATTGACAGCTTTACCTGATCTCGATGTTAAAGAAAAGTTTGACAATCGTCTTTCTAAATATCAGTACCTTCAAAAGCTTTATCAACATTTTTGGGCGCGTTGGTCGAAGGAATATGTAATCCTCCTTCAACAACGTTTTAAATGGAAACATCCTCAGAAGAATATTCAAGTGGGTGAACTAGTGATACTTCGTGAGGACAATCTCCCTCCTCTCAATTGGAGAATTGGACGTGTAAGTGAAATTCATTTAGGACGTGATAAGCAGTGCCGCGTAGTGTCTGTAAAAACTTCGCGGGGTATACTAAAGAGACCTATCTCTAAGATTTGTCCTTTGCCCATTGACAATGATTAGGGACTTGATTATTTATTAGGTTTAGGAAAACTTGTTTGAATCATTGAAATTAGTTTTTAAGTTTGGATTTAACTATTTGCGTCCATCTATGTTTTGGATAAGGAATTGTATTTGTTTCAGCTTAGCCACCTTTGTATTTTTTTTTATATATTATTTTGTGTTGAAAGTCTCAACCCTTTCAAGGTGGGGGGTATATGTTTCTAAAGTATAAAATGATTTCTGTTAACGAATGGTAAATGTGGCAACGCCAAACCTATATTGCAGATTTCTGTAATATCGGCTGCCCTGGGAGATTGCTATTGGGGGAGAAAAAAGGGAAGGGGGAACATGTCTTTGTCTTTTGAGTGTGGCCGTCTGGCGAAAGGCTGTAAAAAGTGGCAGTGCAAATAAAATGTAATTTTTGATTGAAATTTTCGAGTATTTATTACAAAAAAGTGTCAACAACAATTAGCTGAAGCTTAGGAATGGTTCCTAACAAACTGCGACTGTTGTAAATCATGTAAAGGTACTAAAAATATCAATTATTTATATATTCTACTTAAATGGTTTTTATTCTAAGTCGGAATTTTTAATATGATTTTTTTTTTCCAGATTCCAGAAACAAAACAAACAATGATATCACGGAAATAAAAAATCAGTTAAAATTACTGCTACAGACATTAAGGGAGCGTCAAACGGACATCCAAGAAAACCCAAACACTGATGAAATTAATAGCTTTAGAGAAAAGCTACCTATGAAAACAGCAGCTGATGTTGATTCCTGGGAACAGATATTGAATTCTGTTGATGAGCGCAAAAAAATGGTACATTTATTATTCATTCATTCACTATGTTTTTCTGTGCCTATCCTATATACTTTATCTAAAATTATTCCTATAACTTCCTATCATTTTAGGTGACGTACCATTGTAAAAAACATTTTGAAAGCCCTCTTCACTGATTTTGTCGCATCAATGTACAACTGGGAGGGAAAGAAAAATAAAAAAATGTTGTCATCCCTCAATAACATTGTTGAATGTATTAAAGGTAATAAAATATTTTTAATGGAATTATGGAATCGACTCAATATTTTCATTTGTTACAGAGGCATCAATGAAAAGTCCAAATAGATCAACAAAAGTAACAAATCAGGATATTATTGACTCTATCAAGAATTGGCTACGACATGCGTCTGCCAGACTGAATAACAGCCAGTAAGTGAACTATATTTTGAACCATTAAAATTTTTCACAGGACAATAATATAGTTTATTTAAATAACTACCAGGGATCAAGTCATTATGTATTTTTAGTTATTCTATACAGGGTGCCCTTAGTTAAACTGGCATATTTCGCAAGTGAACATTATTTTTTTTGTATCTATGTATACCTGCAAAATGTGTCAGTTTATCTCAGAAAACCCTGTATTATAATATAAGTTACATACTCATCTGCGCAAAATGCTTTATTTACACCTGTTTTTTTGGGTTATAGCTATTGATTTAAAAATTATATGGATAAATTTGTTAAGACAATCTATATCAGTGATGCATCCCTGAGCAGTTTCTTCAAAGTTTTATCTATGTCCTATAACCTATCAAATCTGGTGATGTGAAAGAAATATCTAAAAAAAATTTTTTTCAGGAAGAAAAATCGAGATGAAACTGGTTGAATACTTAATTTGATACGCTATTTTATATTAACATGCATATTGTACTGTATAATAATATACATTAGGTACTTAATCATACCTAACAATAAAACATAATGTTTATTCATAAAATTGCAATTTATTATCCTAATTATTTTTCAGAAAAGCAAATAAATGAACCATGGATTTCATTTATAAAGGACACCCTGAAGGTCCTTACGGAAACGCTGATCCGGTCAAATCGATCACCAGCTGATGTGATTTCTGTTTTTTTGAGAAAACAAAAAGCTGGTGATCGGATTAATTGAATCAGTGTTTCCGTAAAAGGCCCCATTTTGGATATCCATAATAAAATAATAATGGATTTCCAGTGGATATGGATAGGTTATCTACAGGTTGTCTATGAACCTTTACTAAAGATATCCATAAGTATATCCATAGGATATCTTCTATATCCTGGATATGGACGGACATTTGGATATCTATATCGAATCCACTAGATATCTATGGATATCCAGGGGATATGGTGGATATCCATAAAAGATATCCTATGGGTATCTCTGGGATTTGGCGTGTTGTCTAAGTGGTCACTGTCAAAAAAGAAAGTTTCATCGTTGACTTTCAAGCCCTTAAGTGTCACTTATTGACGGTGACACGATGACAAAAATCGTATTAAGAAAAGGCCATTAAAAATTCATTTGCCAGACAGGCATGAAGCTTTAAAAGCTCTCAAAGTTAGAAAAATAATGGAATAAAATGTACCAGGTGTCTACATAAAATCAGACCAGACCGAAAACCGAAGAAAATACCTGAAACAAATCTTGGCTGATTTACACCATTTCAACCTCAATTACGGAAAAAGTAACTTTTATTTAGGAAAATGTAAAGCCATTTTAGGAAAAAGTCAAATCAATTTCAGAAAAAGTAAAGTTAATGTCGGAAAAAGTAAATTCAAATACGGAAAATGTCAAATTCGGCAAAAAAATGTATTCAATTACGGAGAAAGTAATGTTATCTATATATATATAAAACACAGTTGTGTTGGTATTTGAGCACTTATAACTCGAGAACGGCTGGACTGATTTTTATGATTTTTGCTTTATTGGATTTGTCTTTGTCCATCCTAGGATAATATATCGAAAAAATCCAAAAAAAAAACAAAAAAAAAATTATCTATTTTACTTATTTATGAAAAAAACTCACTAAGCCCGCATACGGTGCCATCTCTTATAACTGATACCAAGTTTACCCTCACATTTTCATTGCAAACCATGTGGATTTTATTGTCACACACTTTGCACAAAAACAATTTGAGGAAAGCACTTTATTTTTAATTGTTCTTCACAGTAAAAATGTCCAAAAATAAATAGAATGACAATGTTTTAATTGTGTATTTTATTTTGTTGTTGGTTCGTTCATTCCGAAAGAGCGCGAACTGGTCTACCTGTCATTTCTGGACGCTTGACCATTGACGTTCTGTGGCTAAGTTCCGTTTCTCCTCTTAGGCATCCCTTGACAGCCGTGTTCCGTGCCGACTGTTCGGAGTGCTCCGTCCGGCTGGTGTCGAGTGGCAGAGAGCCAGGTTATGAGTCCGCCATAACCATTTTGTATACGGCGCCATATATGATAGGTACCTAGAACGAAGCTCGCCGTTGCGCGGTAATTTCATTGCAGATACAGTAGAACAGAATACTGCTAAGGAACTGGAGCTATTCTGAACAGAACTATTCTACTATTCCGATCAGATAAAGTGGTGCAGAAAGAGTAGATCAGATAGAATAGTGCAGATACAGTAGAACAGATGGAGTATTGCAGTGCATGCAGTGCAGATAAAATGAAACAGGGCTGCGCTGGAGATTTTTTTTGTTTTCTTTACATTTTTTGAACATTCCTGTGCCTGAGTTTATTTATTTGGTGGTACACTTTATAAGAATAATGCCCACAAGATGCCTAAAAAGGGATGATGTAAAATTTTAATTTTAGGTGACTTCTGATCCAGAGAGTAAAATAGTATATTGTTGTATTAGGAGTAGAAGGTTCACTTTTTTGTGCTGAAGCAGTAGGTTTGCGAGCCGAACGTAGTGAGGCTTGCAATACTGCTGAAGCACAAAAAAGTGCTTTTACTCCGTATGCAACACGCTATTTTTTCTCCAAACGAATGGGGTAAGCTTCGGGGCAAGTGAATGGTTGAGCGGCAGTAAACGTACGAGCGGCACTAAAAGTACTTCTACTGCCGCTCCAGCGGCACTAAAAGTACTTTTGCTGCCGCTGGGGTTGCCAAGCAGCATAGAAATTAAATTTCTACCACCTCGACAGGTGTTAAACCGCTGGATTTGCCTAGCAGCATAGAAATCAAACTTCTGACATCTTGACAGGAGTTAACAAAGTGACGTTTTTCTGACGTTCGGAGAAAAATTAATTTTCTTCGACCAAAGCCAAATTCACCATCGAAAAAAACTGAATTTAATTCAGTTAATAGATACGTTAACACAACATTTAATAGGTATTTAATAATTCAGAGGAGGTACGAAGTTCGCCGGGTCAGCTAATTTTTTATAAAATAATTTGAATTGATTGAGTCATTCATCTATTTAGAAAATCAAAAAAATTGTCCATATATCTCAAAGAGACCCGATTTCCAAACAACAAAAGAAAGAAAAAAATCACAAGTCTACAGATTGTGTATTATTTAATTCTCTTAATAGTGACATGTGTAGAAAAGCCGAAAAGTGAAGGAAATTACATCATCATTAAGGTTTAAAGTCAGGCCTATAGTTTATTACAGCAACGCGAGATGTCAATGCTGTCGCCCCTATAGTGTGCCCTAACTTGACCGTCAAAAAAAAAAAGAAATCTTCATTTGGTTAAATTGTATGATGGAACGTTTTTTCTTTTTTTGGCGGAAATTCGAAGTAACTGTTTTACATAAACAGGGTTGTAGTTTCGACCAACGCAAATAATTGTGAACGTTCATCCGTCGGATTTTTTTCTAAACAGTATAGCTACGGGCGTATTTCCAACTATTTTTGCAGTAGCGAGAAAACTACAAGTTCAAAAAGTTTGAAAAAAATATATGTCGCGTAGAATTGCAATAGTAGTTCGTAATAAAAATAATGGGAAACTTCATCTATTCGTTTTGAAATAAATGGTGAAAAACTACTTTTTTTTCAGTTTTTGCGATATAACTCAAAAATGGCGAGTCAAATTTGCTTAAAAAAATTATGGATTAAAGTATATCGATAACCATAAAACATATATTTTTTTTTTGGAATTTTTGAACACAAGGTTCAGAAAATAGGGTTTGACTTTAAACCTTAAGTACATTGGCGCGATCTCTAAAATCATAGGCCAGGTATATAGCATATAACAACTGAGCTAGTCAACCAACACCCAGATGATAGGCAAGGCATTTGCATCTATGGTTGGAACAAATCCAAGCGGCAGTAAATGACAAACTGGTAATTTCAATTAAGTACAACCTATGAAATGTCCACCGTGCATGCGCACTAGTCCAGGTAGGGCTTATCAACCAATTAGACTATCCATGATGCTGTTAAAATGTCCGCCAAGAGGCACACAAACCTTTTGTTCGCTTGTCAAAGTCACGTTTTTGAATAGGCTAATAGGAAGGCTGGTGTTTGTTTACAATTTAGGTCATTCAATGTCATTTACTGCCGCTTGGTTTTGGAAATGGTGTAGAAACCCATCATTCGTTTTAAGAGATTTCAACTACCGCCCAACATAAACTGGGATAACCTATCAATATTCCCAGCTGAAAAAAGAGCACAATACTTTATGCTTTAATGAATATGTAGGTACCTCTATATTATACCAAGAAACCAATGTACCTACCTAGCTCAACTAATCAACTTTCGAACACGATATGGGAACAATTAGAGTTCGCTGTTGGATCAGTTTCTCGGCAAATCTGAGCTACCTGTTGGGGGTAGCGATCATGTAGTAATCACTGCCAAAGCACATATTATTAGGCTCCACCAAAACCAACTATATAATAAAGTGATAAGAAGAAATTTCTATACAGCCAACTATGATGAGATAAACAACTATATTAGGCAATTCAAACCACGTGACTTTCAAGATGGCGTGGCGGCCACACATGGGCCAAAAAACACATCAAAATATCTAGATTCTGCCTGATATATTAGTTTAGGTACCTAGTCAACAAATATTTTATTAAATAATCCAAATCAAAGTTGCAAGCAAAACTCTAAGCAAAATAGTTGGAAATACGCATAAAAACATATTCAAAACAAACTTGCTTGGCCGCCACGCCATATTGAATTTTCCTATCTGACAGATGGATTGAATTGCCTAATTAGACAGCATCCTGAAACGAAACAAACGAAGGGCCTCAAAAGATTTGAAAGCTTTGAGATGATGAAACAATGTATTCTATTGAAGTCTATGAAAGCAAACCAGAACCAGCAAAATCCGTGGATTAATCAAACACTTTTTAAACAAATCAGCAAAAAACGCACACTTTGGAATAAATACAAAAACGACATATCTGACAAAAAACTACCAGGCCTAATATAACCCAAAATAACACACTCGAACTAAAACTCGGCGAGGCTAGGAGAGTATGTGACCATGACTTAGTTACAGCAGATTCACCAAAAAGAATCTACAAATATATCAGTAGAAACCTGAACTCTTAAGGTGTCAACAATAACACTTAGGGCCGGTTTATTCACCTTCTGATAAACTCTCAGGTATGCAATCTGGCGGATAAAAACGCTATTTATAATCCCATTGGTCATCCAGTTATCCGCCGACCAATAGAATTATAGAACGATGAAATTATCTTGCAGATAGTTACCACCAAGTTTATCTGAACTCTGAAGACGAATAAACCGGGCCTTGGAAATTCAATAACTCAAGAAGTTTTAGACAATGAAGCCATGGCTGAAAACTTTGCTGAACAATTTGACAAGTCCTTCACCCAACAGTAGCACTGCCTGCATATAGTAGACGAGTTCGAATAATACGTCGGATGTCTCGGAGGTACTCCAACCCGTTCGTTTATTATTTTCGAGCACTCAGAGGTGCGATCTTTTAAGACATCCGGGAGGGTTTAGATGCTCCTCGATTTACTCGGACGTTTTCGACCGACGATTCAGACGGATGAAAATATTTGACGTTTCATTCTCACAATTTACATTATTTCCCCGCCCGCAGCCGCTTCACGCGACCAGTCAAGTTAGGTGAGTCCAGTGGTAGTGGTTCGAACAAAACAGCACAGTTTATCTGTCATAAATTTAATCCATTCTCAAAATAATTAAGGGAAATAGGGAAATGAATATGAAAAATTGACAATGGATATGAAATAAAATACAAATTAAATATGTTTGTACAAAAATAGATTAGGATTACCGAAACATATGACCAAAATAAACATCAGCTTAAAAAGAGCGTTCGAATAAAACGGAGGAAATCAAGCACATCTGCACCCATGTATTCGAACTCGTCTACTATACTAGAGTCTGGAATCCGATAGACACCATAGAATTCACAGAAGGAAAAGTCAGAAGAACCCTGAATAATATGAAAAAGGCCTCAAGTCCAGAGTCAGATAGGATACCAACAAAAATGACAAGTTTTGCGGACGACGAAAAACTACTCTTCTCAATGTGGCATAAGTAAAAGCAGACTTGCATAATATTGAAGTATGGACTGGAACTAGGAGTATGAATTATGTTCAGACAAATTTAATGATTGCAAAGTTTTTGAAGTGCATTACAATTCAAGGGCTTATGGCTTATTCTAAAATAGGGAGGATGTTGGAATTATTTTATATCTTTATTTGATGTAATATAGGTACCGCCGGTACCGGTTTTTAGTTAGTTATCTCTGGTTAGTTGACTTTGAAATATATATGTCTGTATTGTAATTCAGTTCAATAGAACTCGTCCGTACCGTACTCTTCCAGATATTTTATTGGTGTTACATACAATTTGGGGCTTGATTAACAACAAAAAAAGCCTCAAGTCCAGGGTCAGACAGGATACCAACCATTATGGTTTTTATTCTATTCTATTCTATTATGCTACAAAACTGTAGTGAGTGGTTAGTTCTCTACTCTCTGGGGTAATGCAGGAATGTGTCGACTTGGGATGCATACCAAAGAAATGGAAGCTCTCTATAGTGACCCCCTCTTTAAAAAAGAAGACAGAAACAAACCGGAAAATTACCGACCGATAAATCTAACATGTAGCCCATTGAACTGCATGGAAAAGGTCATGGTCGAGAAATTAACAGCTTTTTCATTGTTACCACCACCACAACACGTGTTTTTATCAAAATGCTCCATTGTCACTTTCCAATGAACAATTCCAATGAAGAATATTTTCTGAGCACAGCACTTACTTACAACTGTCACTGAGCAAAGTGATCTCTAGTAACATCGGACTTGAAATGGGAAAACCACACAGTCAAAATAGCCAAAAAAGCCAGTACATTCGTCATCTAATTAAACATGATTTCAAAGACCACTCCATCCAAATGATAGGCAAAATGTACAAAAGTGTGGAATCCGTATTTCATCGAGGATGTAGAAAGCTTAGAAAAAATACCGCAAGATACCATCAGAAATGAGAGAATTAAGTTATCCTGAGAGGCTGGAAAGATTCCGATTAACAACATCAAGAGAAAGAAGGCATGGGGGAGATCTGATTGAGACATATAAGATAACAAGTGGATACCTCAATTGCGGCATGTCAGGGATATTTCACCAAAATCAAAACCAACAACTTTGAGGGCACTCAAAAAAACTAGACAAAGAATAAGCGGCCAAACTTCCTACCAAAACATTCCTAACAAATCGTGGTGTTTATTCGTGGAATGCCTTGGCAGAGCACAAAATAGTTCAAGTCAGATGGCTGAGAAAGTTTAATTTTATTTTGGAAACACTCGAACTGATACAACTTACGAATAGATATCGGTTAACACAAGAGAAATTGCAGCAAGCCTGGACCTTGGACCTGGACTTTTCACACTGATTCTGTGATAAGACGAACAAAAATCAAACATCATTTTACCTATGACCGAAGCAATGTCAGACCCAAAGAAGTCTTTTAGAAGTAGCTTCTATTTTTATATGCCAAAATGTTCCATACATTCATTGATAGAAATAGAACGTTTTTCTCGACTCAACAGTCACAATGTTTTTTTTTTTGGATTTATGTATGATGATGAAAATATATACCTGTTAAAAACTGTTTCAATTTACCATAAGGAACACACAACTTTCAAGTTCCCAGCCCAAATGTAGCTCATCAAATTTTCACTTAATGCTTTTAGAATGTCGAATATTAAAAAGAAACTTTTTACTTACTCGTGATTATTCAGCTTCAACATCATGTTCATCCAACATTTTCTTTAAAAACCTGCCCCAACTTGTAGATAGGAAAACATAAAAATGTTTCTAACAATTCACACAATTTGACTAGTCTAATCAGAATATTTTCCAGAAGGAAAAATCAGTTCTCTTGTTGAAGAGACTAAGATTAATATTTGCTTCAGCGACCCGCTGCTTTATTGTTATTGATTCAGGGCCAATTCTACCTTTTTCACAATAAGTTTTTGTAGTAACTCTACATATTATTTCTTTCCTTCATGATTTTATTGTTCTTAACAGTCTCTTTTCCTTATAGTTTCTGATTGTTTTAGATATTTGTTTAAATATTTCGCTTATTTCCTGCATATTTTAAACATTATTTCTCTACACACAAATTCACCGTTACTTGCTTTTAAACAGGTACAAGATAAAATGTATATCACTTGTCTGGTAAACTTACCCAAGTACACGTTTTGTAATACTGCACTTACTCAATTTGTAACATAAATTACTGATATTACTGTAACTAGATATTTAGGAATCTCAAATCAACAAAATCTTAATGCATTACTTACATTTTCTTTATTTCATGAACTTAAAATCACAATAATTAACTATTGTACCAGCCTAATATTTGAACTAGTAAAAACAAAATTAAAATTAAAAGGTTTCCTATGAATAATTTAAACATATTAATGAGAAGCAGTATTAATTATTAAAATCCCCCTCTGAATCCACCTCTGAAACCTCCTCGGCCTCCTCCATATCCACCACCTGTAACAATAATCATGAATTTATTTCTTGTTTTTTTTTTAGTAATTCTCAGTATATTGACTGATTGAAGGTACAGCAATGTTCAATGCAAAAACCCTCAACATTTAGGCTAATAAAACTTACCTCCTCCATAACCGCCGCCTCCTCTGTATCCTCCGCTACCTCCGTATCCACCACCACCGCCTCCTCGGCCTCCATAACCACCTGAAAAAAAAAATGATAATATTTTACAGCTAATGATAACCAGATTTTTTGCCAGGTAACTCACCGCCTCTGCTATTACCACGGAACATTTTCGGAGGAGGACCGGAATAACCGCCCAAACTGTGTCCTCTTGGTGGTCTTTTGCCCATGCCCATATTCATAGAGCTTGCTTTTTCTCGTTCAATTCCAAAACTACCAGCGTGAAGTTTGCATAGTTCTTTTATGCATGTAACAACCTGAGGAAATTTTGATAATTTTTTTAAGAAATTGAATTCTCTTAACTTAGAGTTGGGTATAATGTGAGTAAGTGGGAAAATACATGTACACAAATTATTGTCATCAAAACGTCCATTGGCAAGTAATAACATCATAGTCTTACCTTTTTGTCAGTTTCACTCATATCCATAATCTGCTCTGGTTCCTTTGATGTTCTGATCACTAGACTTTCCAATGCAGGCCTTAGAGCTACTATTTCAGCAGCAACTTGTGGATCCATGTCTAAATTAATCCAGTTGTCTAATCGAACTACTCCATCAATCCAATCAACCTGAAATTGAAATAGTTTTCCACAAAAAAATCTATGGTAACAAAATTATTCACATACCTTTCTCGATCCAAACAGTAAAAGATGTATAGGCGAAACCATGGACATTTGCTTACATGACACAGCCCTGGTACGAATTTTCTCTCCGAAAACAAAGAACGGATAAGGGAAGTTTTGTTCAAAATTACTGCAGTTCACCGACGTTTTATGTATCAGGGCTGCTTTACTTTCTGTCGTCAAAACCTTTCTTTTTTCCTTATGATAACAAACATTCGGATAGAGACCGTAAGACATAAACGCCATGATAACGTCTAATCTTGGATCTGGCCCAACAGTTTCCATGGGCAACGGCATCATTGTTTCTTCAGGAAAACCGCAATTATTGAGAATTTGTTGCAACTGATGCTTGGCTTCCCAAGTGGTGCGCATCGTTGGCAAACTGATGCCTTTGTAGTCACAAAAACGAAGTTCTGCTTCTTCGCCTCCTTGCCTAGATTGATCCCAAAGCTAAAAATTTGTTTATATTAATCCTAGTTTTATTTTAGTAATCATTAATTACCTCAAACGCAGTCAGCATAGCGACATGATCTGAGTGCCTATCTCCAGCCAAGGCTCTCTGATGTCCGGCCAATCTTCTCTGACCCATATCCATAGAAAAAATTTCGGGAAACGTAGACGAATTAGCAGCCATAGTAGCCAAAGGACCTCCGCACATAAAAATACATCCCAAAATCATCATTTTTCCCAGCCTAGGTTCGATTGGGAGCTTAGCTATAATACGTCCCAACGGGGTTAGTTCATCATTTTGGTCCAGACATTTCATTTCTCGTAAAAGAACTTCAGCTTCAATGACAGCATCCAATGGCGGAGGTTCGATGGCTTTAGACAAGAAAAGTCCAATTCCACCAAGTCTTAATAATTTAATGCTAAGCGCGAGCTCGTGCAGTGGAGTCCTGAACATTTCTGGAGTCATATGTTCATCTAATTTTTCAAATCTGGCTCTGGAGCATAAATGAAAGCAAATTCCAGGCCTAACTCTGCCAGCACGTCCTTTCCTTTGCTCCAAATTGGTTCTGGAAGCCCAAACAGTAGCGTAGCTAGTCATATTGTTGTGAGACGTAAACATTTTGATTTTAGCTTTGCAACTGTCTATAACAAAGACTACATCGTCGATTGTAATTGAAGTTTCGGCAATGTTTGTAGCTAAAATTACTTTCGTTACATGGGGCGGAACTGGCAAGAATACCTTGCGTTGATCGTCTCTGGGGATTTGCGAATGCAGAGGTAGAATGCAATATTGAGATCCACCATAAACGGGATGGTTTTGTAAATGTTTCATCATGGCAAAGATAAGGTTCCAGCCAGGCAAGAACACTAAAACTGCTCCTGGAGTATTCAAGCTCTTGATATGAGTCAACAAAGCTTCCATCAACTCAAAACTAATCTCCTTCTCGCTTACTCGGGCCATTGCATTCTTAGTCTGTACTGAATATTGCCCGCTAATAACGGCATTCAAATTCTCATCAGAATCGTCGGCCACAGTATCTTCGTCTCCTTCGTCATCCTTTTTGCCGCTTCTATTTTTCCTTTTCAAATCAACCGGAGGTACAAATTTAGTCATTTCGATGCAATCCTCCAAGAAATATTGTTTGACAGGGAAAGCTCTTCCTTCAATTTCAATTACTGGACAATTATTGAAGTATTTGGAGAATAATGTGGTGTCTATGGTGGCGCTCATTAAAATAACTCTCAGGTCGGGGTAGGTGTGAACCATGTCACGTAAAACTACCATTATAAAGTCGCTGTTTACGTCACGCTCGTGAATTTCGTCTACAATAACGTGACTCACGCCTCTTAAGCCGTTTTCTAATTTTTTTAAAAGTACACCAACTGTGCAGAATAATACTGAGCCATATGGGCGAGGTAAAGCTGATTCGAATCTTACTGAATATCTGTTTCAAAATTAAATACATAGAACTTACAATACAATTTGAATATTGTTGTATATAACTTACCCAACAGCTTGTCCCATTTCTTCAGCCCTTTCACTAGCAACTCGCTCTGATACTGAAACAGCCGAAATACGACGCGGTTGAGTTACCACAATGCTACACCAAGCACCTTGCCCCGACATAATGTAATCTTCCAAAATGAATTGGCAGATTTGAGTGGTTTTACCGCAACCAGTGTTGCCTCTAATAATAATTACTGGGTTTTCGTTGATGGCTTCCATAATAGAGGCTTTTGATTTGAATACCGGTAGAGTTTGTCTTTTTTCGAGGTTTTCTTGCCACTTACTGTCACTGCTTTGTTTCAGTTTGGCTTCTTCAAGCATGTGTTCGCTTATTTGGTCCATTGTAGCTGTCGCTAGAAAACCTATAACACAATGGAGAAATGTGAGATTTGAGTAGAGATCCCTCTGATGTTTGCTATTCTGTGTGTTTGTATATTGAAACTAGATAAGGAATTGTTGAATTGTATTTGGGCTCTCTGATAGTGACTTCTAAGTACTATAAGTTTTGTTGTACCTTGTTCTCTGTTTTCACTAATCTATTTAAATGATTCACAAAAGATGGACTTTTGATTCCGAAAACTATTAAAAGTATCAAGATTACCTTCATCGATATTACAACCTGTCCACGGATTCCAGTTTTGTTGTGGTGGAGACCATGGCACAACTCCAGCCTAAAACAAAAAGGAAATTTTCATTTAAAAATGAAAATATTGTCAGTTACCAATTACTTACTTGTGTTACTGGAGCTGGATGAAAATCGTCCAAAACGTGAGTCGACAATAAAGATACAGGATCTTTGTTTTCTGTTTTTGTCACAATGGGATGCACGTTTAGTTCATCCAAGACGTCTTGGACTTGTTTCTGCAATTGAGGAGCTATTGCCACTTTGAACGGTGCCATTTCTGCGGCGTTTTTCTGTTTCTTCAATGTACCTAAAAATCAGAAATAATGTTCAAGTGTGCGATAACAAATTGATGAGTCCTACCTGAAAACGCTTCGATAACTCCAAGATGAAAAAGTTGTCTGACCATTGACAAAGCGCAACTTTTACTTGCAGTCTGCTTGTTTGAACCACCATCTCGGCCGTGAACAGTACGATTGAGTTGTTTCACATAGAAACTTATTTCTGCCACAAAAGTTCTGAAAATATACATAAAATATAAATAAGAGTCAAACTCAAGAAACGCTGTTGAAGATACAGGTTATTTAATATCTATAAAATCAATTCAAGTACTGTAGTAGATTGCATCAACAAAATAAAATCACTTCAACCAAAAATAAAATGTATTTTGTAAGATGAAGTAAGTATTTTAAACAATTTAAAAAAAAAATAATACATTTACTTACCTTTAATCAGTCAACAGCAGTGAACCCCACTACAGCTGGACCTTCTAGGTAAAAACAAGCTAAAAAAAATCAAGAACTGTTCAATAATGATGCCTTTTATTCAAATAAATAGAGAATAAACAAGCAAAAATTAATTGCTATAAAAACTCTCTATTCATTTTACTTCTTGTAGTAGCAAAGGAAAAACAATGATTAAAATTGAAGATTTTCAATTTTATTTAGAATCTTTCACAATCAGGAAAGATCGTAAATAATAAAAACACTTTCACAAATTTAACAGTTCTTGATTAATTTAGTTCATAGAAGATCCAGCTGGAATTCACATACAACTCAAAACAAAAAGTGCATAAATTTAATAATCAAAAAATTATTTCAAAATGATACAAAACAGCCCAAAATCTACATTAAAAAAGATATTGCAAAATGTTTCTCCATCATCAAACTAAATAAAAACACAATACTGTTAGTCTTTTTGGTCTGATGTAATGATGCTTTGAAACATACTACAAACTGTGTGTTTTTTCCTATAATGATTTGAAAAGAACAAGAACTTATTAAAAATATGCAACAATAAAATGTCAATTTAGCATATTACAGAGTGCAAATGATCACTTTAGTAATATGCTAGAAGATACACAATAAATTGAAAAAGGAATACTTATAATTAAAAAAAAAAATATATATATAAATAGCTAGAAAAAGCTGTTTCACAATTTAGCTTCAGTTGATACGGTTCCATATCCAGCTCTAGAAAATTGAAATCAAAATTCCTTACCTAGCGTGATCAGGTCCAACTTGAGTATACTTATAATCAGCATTGATTTTATTACTCTGCATAAACTGATGTAGTTTAGATTTGGCATTCTCCACTGTCCAATTTCCGTGTATGCCAGCGTTGACATCCAAATCCTCGGCTTCTTCCATTCGTTTTTGCTCCTGAGCTCGGTCCATGTAATGCCAATTATCTTTTTCCGCCCCACTTGGCCTGTAGGCTTCTCCAAAGTTGGAGGGACCCATGCCCTGTTCGAATACTTGATGTTGGGGTTTTTCGGGGAAGTTTTCCTGCTGTGGTGGTTGCTGGCCTTCATCTAATTTGAATTTGTTTAATATGATTGGGTGAAATGTTTGTAAAATTAGTAAAATTATACTAACTTCCTCCAACAAGTGTAGGGGCCGCATCCAAGTCGAAAGATAGGTCGCTTTTGGCTATCAGGCCCTGCCTCATTAAATAATTGAGGAAATCTCTTGCAGCATTGCTTTGGGCATCTTTCTTGTTGGTCGAATTGCCAGCGCCCACGTAACTGTGTCCATTTATTCTAACTTCGCAGAGGAATCTTTGACGGTGTTTTGGACCTGAAATAGAATAATAATAATTGCTTTATTTATACTTCATCTAATTCAATACAAAAATACGCTAAGATTTTGGAATCCTTTTCATGAAAATCGCAAGATCACGGTGCAGTGTTGTCAAATGTCCAGAATAGCAACTTTGAGTTAAGAATCGAGGCAATTAACTTTTCAATTGGTAATTTATTGTTTTGTTCTGACCAGAAGAGGATAGTTGCAATTTATTAATTAATTCGCTGCCTGCTGATAATTTTTTAAATAAATAATTAAATTAGCCAATTAATCTTGAAACTACCTTAAAGATGGCCTAATGATTACAATGTAAAATTACTTTGTCCGACGATTCTGACGATGTTAATGTAACAATGTGATATTAGTAGCGGAGATTTTTGCAAGAAATGCTTTCCCATATCCGCATCTGAGGCAAAATGCATTCCACTGAAGAAAAGAGTTCTAATCATCTGTTGTTTAAACTGTAAGTCCGCAGTACGAGAATGTCTTCGTAATAGTGATGCTATCAAACACTTAACTAATGAAGTGGCTCTCTTGAGGGCAACTTGCTCTGATAAGGACCAGTTAGTGAATGACAAATCCAAGATTATTCGCCTAATAGAATATCAGCAGAAAACATTGATCCATGTTAACAAGCCTAAAACGGACACAAAATCTGATCAAGCGCATCATGGCTTGCAGGAACCAGCTACAGGTGAGCCTATCAAAAATAAGGATGTATCTCTATCACTTTTAGGACTTCAAACCAGAAGTAAACTTGATCAATTAAACTCAGCGGGTCCAGTTGAAGTAGCTACAGGTTAAACAACCAAAGAACCACCTACAAAAGATGTACGGAGCAATAACATCCAGCAAGGCATTATTCTAGGAACCAATAGAACCGCAAATAACCACCAATTAAAAGCGGCGCCCAGAAAATCATCATCAATTTCTACCACAAAAATACATATCACTATATTGGATCCTTCTGCAACTACCAATGTTCTAGAAGACTATAAAGATCATCTTCAATGTTAATCTTGGTGTAAAAAAAACTACACTTCCCGCTATCCAGACTCATACAGTTCCTTTAAGATAGCTGTTCCCAAAACGTTGGTTAAGGATATTCCATCATCTGAAAACTGGTTAGAAGGTGTTGAAGTTAGAATTTTTAGGGAGAAACAAATCCAAAAAATCGGACCTGCACAGGACGCTGGACCTGCATAAATCAAGGAAACAATAGTCGAATTGATCCAGATAAGCTGACAACATAATATTATCAAAATGTGAGAGGTTTGAGAAACAAACAAACATCGATTTTTCTAATTATGTAAGTTTGAACAATTATGACTTTATCCTATTGCCAGGAACTAGGTTAATTCTGATTTCTTGGATCCTGAAATATTTAATCCACAATATTTAGTATTTAAATGTGATAGAAACGCTGAAGTAACTGTTGAATCAAGAGGTGGTGGGGTCTTGATAGCGGTCTCCAAAAACTTTGTTGTTCAGACTATTGACACCAGATCCAATAATAGCAATATTGATGAGATCTGGGTGCTAGTTACTATTGGTCTTACTAAAGTTATTTTATGTAGTGTTTATTTTCTACCCAATTCTAAGCTTAACGACTATCAGAGTCATTTTACAAACATTAAAGAATTATCCCGAGTTTATTATGACTCAGTATTTAATGTGAGCAAGGCATTGCGAATGCTAGGCTTCATTTTTAGAAATACACAAGACTTTACCATTTCAAATGCCTTGAAAATATTGTATTTTAGCCTGGTTAGGTCCCACTTAGAATACTGTAGTGTCATTTGCTCCCCATTTTTTCAAAAACACATTTCAAGTTTAAAGTCGATTCAGAGAAGGTTTCTGCGTTATTTTATATAAATTAAAAATCCCTTGCGACCACATTGACTTCAGTGAATTGGAGATATTTCTCAAACAGATTATGAAAATATAGTAACCGGAAACAGTTTTACCTTCTTGAATACAACATTGGCTACCAGAGAAGTAAATAAGTCAAAGACACTTATCTTTAGTTAATTATTTTTAGTACAAATAAAATTAAGAATTATTATAAGTTTAGTCCATTTTTTTTTAGTTAATTATTTTTAGTACAAATAAAATTAGTCATTCAATCATTAATATAAAAAATCCAAATATAAACTTTGATCTCTATGACAGCTGTGTAACAGATCATAAACTACAAGTGATAGAAATCAATCAATTCAAAATAAAGCCAACGCCAAAACAAAAGCGAACTATACATTTTTTAAATAAAGTTCTCTTTTATAGACATTTCAATGAAAGGATGTCTGAGACCTTATGCAAATGGCTTTGAAACACTATCTGAACTCATACAAAATGCAAAACGGATATCTACTACTAATAAAACCGTAAAAGATCGAAATAATCATGGATTAATAATAATTTCTTGAAATTGATAAATCAAAGAGATAAAATATACTCAAGACTAAAACGTAACCTGGAAAATGAAACATTGAAGAATGAGATTAAAACTTTAAAAAATCAGTGTAACAATTTGAAAACCAGACTGAAAAGTAACTATATAATCAGTAAATTTGAAAATGCACGAGGAGACCTACGTAAAACATGGCAAGTTGAGTTGTTAATGGTGTGATCGCAAATAATTATAACAATTACAGTCAGGCAAATACTATAGATTTCTTATTAATGAATCATAACCATATTGGAGATGATCAAGGAATTGCAGACTATTTAAATACTTATTTTGGAGATGTAGGAGGCACAATTGACAGGAACAAAGTATGCAATATGAACAGGCGGATCTCAATGGAGAGTTACCTGAAGTATATGAACAGCAATCCATATTTTTGAAACCTTGCACTGAAGTAGAAATAGACGAAGTTATTCGTGAGCTGAATACAAAAGCACATGGACCAGACAAAATCACAACCACTGATTTACAAACTATAAAGAATCTTATAATCCCAGTGTCGGAAAGGTTAACTAATGAGATTTTGTCAATCAGTCGTTATCCAAATTGTCTTAAACAAACTAAAATAGTTCCAATCCATAAAGCTGGCAGTCAACATGACCCTGGCAACAAGAGATTTATCGCTCTGATATCAACTTTGTCTAAAATTGTAGGAAAGATAATAAAGATTAGAATATGTGACTTTATTGAAATAACTAATTTGATTTGCAACAATATGGCTTCCAAAAGGCTGCAAATACACAGGTGGCAGCAGTTGACATGGTCAAGTATATTTCGAGTAGCTTGGACAGGGGCAATTATGGGATTGCTGTTTTCATAGACCTTCAAAAAGCGTTCGATACTGTTAACACTGAAATTCTTTTGGAAAAGTTGGAAGGTATGGGAATTGAAGGAGTAGCATGCAATCTTATGAAATCCTATGTTAGTAAGTGGCCGCAATATTCAGTTGTCAATCGACGCGATTGTGGGGTGGTTATCATAAACAGTGCAGTTCCACAAGTCTCAGTCCTGGGATCTCTACTGTATCTTTTGTATGTGCATAGTGTTTCAAAGCCAAACCTGAACTGTAAATATATAACATTCGCTGATGATACAGTGTTGCTTTTGGAGGATCCAAATATTCAAGACTTACAGCAAACCGTGAATCACTCTCTGTCTACCTACTATTTATTTATTAGTCTTTAGGACACAAACGGAACAAGCCCAAAAATAGTATCTTGATATTACATTATACAAGAATATAATTACTTATTGATATAAAAAATAAATCAATAGGTAATTAATAAAATTAAAAGTAATATCTAGCTAAAATTAAAAAATACATTATATAACAATAGAACAAAAAGAGGTACCCTGCATTAAAACATCATAAACAATATCAGATAGACAATCAGGCCTATGATGTATCATTTTCTGTTATTTTAACAGCAACGTTAAGTTATCTGTCACTGTTTATTCTATACATCAAAATAGAGACAGGTATGCTGTTGAGCTATAACACAGCTGTTAAAATAACAGGAGAGGATACATCATAGGCCTGAGTATCACATAGGTTTCAATGGCAACTAAAATAAAGCATATATTGATTGATTGGCTGATTGAACTACCCGAGGAACTATACCAAAAGCTGAAAGCTTCAACTTTGAGATTCCTTTTGAAAGATATTAAACTTGTTGAGAATAAATCTAGGTTACAGTCAGACGTCAGTACAATGTAAGTTGCCAGACTTAACCAATCTCACCAAAGGTGCACTCTGACTAATTTGTTCTACAATATGGAACATAAAATAAATGGCCTCTCAAAAACAACTTGAAGATTAACATAAATAAAACAGTGTTGATTAATTTTAAACAAAAACTCAAGTCAATAATCAATTCTATAGACATAAAAATTAATAATACAGCATTAAAAATGGTTGACTGCTACGAATACTTGGGGCTTACTATTGACAAAGACTTAACATTTAAACTACATGATGTGAACTTACTGAGGAAGAAACTGGCTGATGCATATGGTGTAATTAAAAAATGGTTGAACCTTCTACCCGATTGCACGAAGATGCAATATATGAAGCAATTTTTAAATCCCATCTGCAATACATGTGTACTGCTGGACTGCAACTTCAAAGATACTAATTCAAAAACTGCAAAGGTTGCAAAATAGATTCATAAAATACCTATATCATCTCCCAAGACTCTATCCAACATCTCAAATCTATAACGAAATTAAGTTGTTGAAAGTTGAACAAATAGTGCAACTAGAAGAATCCAAACTTATGCAAAGATTATACACAGTCAAGTCAAAACAAATATCAAACAAATCAAACCTATAAAAAATACTGACATACATGGTTATTGCACTAGACAGAGTGGCAATCTGCACATGACATCATTTTATTTCAATTTTCCCAGGCTAAAATAGGGAATGGTATATTTCAAACATAAATGGAAAATTATGATTTTAAAAAATTAACTTTGTAGGACGCTAAGCCGACACTAATATTAAAAATGATTTTTGCATAACTAGA